CCCTAAACCCTAACCCCTAAACTATGACGTTTTGTCCCTAGGCCTTACGCAAACCGGGATACGATTCTCCACGCCTACTTCCCTGCCCTCATAATTGCACCCAGGGAGCCCGCGTCGTATGTCTTATAAACCCTAAAGGCCAAAAAAACCTAGTAGCCCTCATAGCAGTAATACCGGGGCCTTGATAACTAGAATAGGCTTCGGGGGTATATTATGCCATATTTATAATGAAGAACCCTTCATAACAATATTGGTACTTACTCAAACCCCTGTACTACTCCAATGCATCGCAGCCTCAGTAGCTACGTTTTTGTCCGCAGCTCCACCGTCTCTCCTAGACACTACTTGGAGGCCCAGGGGACTTAGCAAGTCAGTTATAAGAAGGGTTATAATTGGGGTAACTCCATTTAGGGTACGTATAATTCTACTTATAAACCCTAAACCCTAAACCCTAAACCCTAAATCCTAAACCATAACTCTACTTATAACTTACTAAGTCCCCTGGGCCTCCAAGTAGAAGCCCTAAACCCTACGGCTCAAAAAAGCTCATCAGGTTCCTGAGTTCGCCCCTAGAACCCTACAACCTTTGAGGGTTTAAGGTTCAGGGTTTAGCGTTTAGGGTTTAGCGTTTAGGGTTTAGTGTGGGTTTAGGGTTTAGGGTTTACTGTATGTTTAGGGTTTAGGGTTTAGGGTTTAGGGTTTAGGGTTTAGGGTTTAGGGTTTAGGGTTTAGGTTTAGGGTTTAGGGTTTAGGGTTTAGGGTTTTGTGTGGGTTTAGGGCTTAGGATTTAGTGTGGGTTTAGGGTTTAGGGTATAGTGTGGGTTTAGGGTAATGCTTATGCTTATGTCCTTTTTGGGGTTCCTAACTTTTGCCCTTTGAAGGAACCCCTTTGACCCCAACTCAAGCCGTCGCTGCCGAGACTCCGTGAGCTGCGCGAAAGGCAGCGGCCACTCGAGCTCGTTGTGCACGGCAACGTGCGCCATCACCTGCGCACGGTACTATAGGGTTCAGGGTTTAATTAGGGTTTAGGGTTTAGGGTTTAGGGTTTAGGGTTTAGGGTTTAGGGTTTAGTGCGGGTTTAGGGTTTAGGGTTTAGGGCGCATGGTACCCTTTATACGCTCTGATCATAAGCAGAATGATAATAATTCAAAATCTCAATGATACTGACAGAAATAATGACCACTAGTAACACTAATTGTATTTGCTGAAGAATAGGGTTTGGGGAGATTGAAAGGTTCTCGAGCCATCACCTGCACATGGAAATATAAATGGGCCTCAAGAAATGGACAACCCTAAACCCTAAACCCTAAACCCTAAACCCTGACTGGATGTCCTTTAAGGCTTCTTTTGAAGGTTCCATCAAGATGGTTCTACTATAAGGGTCCGTGAATCAACTGCGCATGTGACACAGGCCCTTAATGAACTCTCTGTAACTCGAAAAGGGTGCTGGGATGTACTGCAGCATTGGTATAGTACTAATACTTAATAATTGATATGTTGAGGAACCCTGAGGAATAGTATTTGACATTCTTTTTGCCCCTTTGTCTGGGGGTGTCGAAGACATGAGGTGTAACGGGCTTGGTCCTCATCCCTGTTCAGGCTCAGCCTTACAGCAAGCCCCAGAGAAGCCTGGTAGAAAGCCCTATCGAAAGCCCCGTAGAACCCTTGTAGGAACCCTTATGGGGAAACTTTGTGGAAGCCCTATAGAAACCTCTGGAACTCCACAGAGCCTTTGTAGAAAGCCTTAAGAACCCTTATAGAGAGCTGTATAGAAAATGCTCAACCCTTAAAGCCCTGTTCAGGGCCTGCGGCATGGATGTGCAAAGCCGCTTCATCACCTCAGCTGTGGCCGACGTAAATCAGTGTTAAGGGCTTCGAGATGCAAAAGCCCTGATAGGCTCTGGCTTGGGGTAGTACGAATGCCCTTATAGGCCCCATGTCATCATGATAATTATATATATATATGTATATGATGATGACGCCCAACACTCTATTCTGGTGATTAAGGCCTCTGTATGAAGTAATTCAGTCTTTCTTTTCGGGGCTTGCTAATTAACGCTTTTAGCTGCGACGCCAGTGAGTCCACGCCGACCGTCATGTAGTGTCGGTGAATGTGGGAAACTGTGGACGCAAGGAGATCATTCTTTCGATAACGTGTTTAGTTCGGGCTGGAAATAGGCATCCTTCGTAGTGTTGCTTGAAGCCAAAGGACTTTGTCCAGGGGCGACAATTAGAATGACACATGTCGTTGTAGAACACACTCCCGAGAGATTGCCGAACCGTTTTGCATAGCTTTGGCTGCGTGGCGGGTGGCGGGCCGTTGTCTGCGAGAAGGCTTCGTGTTCATTTCGAGAAACAAGTTAGGAATGGACATTTGGCTTCGCAGTAAGTTTCCTAGAGTGTTGATTCGTGCTTGAAGTGGAGAGGATTGCAGAGCTTTCATGTTTTGAATCATTGATCTCGCGGGTGGCCAAGAGCAGTGCTTCGCTCTGGCGGAGTCACGGTACAAGCCGACAACGCACCAAATTTTCGATTTTTGACCCTAACCCACTGTAGGGTCCTGACTTGGGTACTGCCTCCATGCAGTAAGAGTCTATAACAAGGGTACTATTCAGGGCCTTATGCCTCTATCATATATATATATATATACAATATCCAACTGCTACTGCGTGGCGGCAGCATCCACGACGGACGCTATTTTCAATCTGGGTTTTATCGAGTTTCACAGGGTTTGACAAAGTAAGCTTCGTAGGTTCGACGGAGCGTTGAGGGTTTGGGGTTGAGGGACGGGGGTATAGAGTGACCTTGGTTTAAGGGGGTCTAGGTTTCAGGGCGCAGAATTTAGAGTTTAATGTAGGGGCCCTAACAAGTAGAACAGAATGTTGGGGTATACTATACTATAAATATACTAAGGAACTCTATAGAATAATATAGGCAATTATTTAGACTTCCATATTAGGGCCTCCGGGTTTGGGGCTTCATTTGGTCAAGGGTTGCATGCAAACAGACCCCTGGTCAAGCAGGAAGAGCAAGACACAAATCTGGCGAGTGCTGTCATCGACAAGGCTGGTACTGTATGTCAGATTAGTCTTTGGCTACGGCCTGGCTAGCTGCTGACATACCGTAGTTTGCGATGTTCGTTGTTTTGCACACTTGCCATACTCTTCAGGAGCCTAGTCCACTTTGTACTTTGGCGCGTTAAATGTAAAGCGTGGGTGAAATTGCATAGTATAAACGATGGGCCAAGCATAACCCCAATTCCTAAACCCTGTAGGCCCAAACCAATAACGTTTAAACCCAATAGCGTCTTTACCGCGATTGAATGGCAAGCCAGTGGGTTTTATTGATCGGGCGTCTACGTCAAAGATAAGCCCATGGGCAAACCCTATATTTATATAATATAACTTACAAAACCCTAAACCTGAGAAAAAAAAACGCTACAAAACCCTAAACCCTAAACCTTCAATAGCCTTTCCAAACCCCTCGTCGTAGGATTCTGACCTAAATCCCTCACACCCAGAACCCCAGAACCCATCAACACCCAACACCCGACATCCCACCAGAAGATCCTAAACCCAAACCTTATAAACCCTCAACCCTAAACCCTAAACCCTAAACCCTAAACAGAGACCTCAAGAGACCCCTTAAAGGCATAGTTTTTAAAGGAACCCCGCCCAGCCACGTTGTCCATCGAAGGCCAGGCGCGGCTCTTCAGCTTTGAGCTCAAGCAGACACCTTCGCAGAGGGTTCAGGGATTAACCCTAAACCCTAAAACCTCGAACCCTAAAACCCGAAACCCTAAAACCCTAAAACCCTAAAACCCTAAAACCCTAAAACCCTAAAACCCTAAACCCTAAAACCCTACACCCAATGAGGCGTTAAGGCTTCAAGGCATTTGTGGCGCTTCCCGGCTTCAGGGTTGTCGGGGGGGTCGTTGCTTGGGGTGTAGGGTTTAGGGTTTAGGGTTAGGGTTAGGGTTTAGGGTTTAGGGTTTAGGGTTAGGGTTTATAGTTAAGGGTCTGGGTTTAGGGTTTTGGGTTTCGTGAAGTTTCTACTATACTATAGGGGCCTTAATGATTAGAATAAGGTTCCGTTAAAGGGTTCTCTATAAGGGTTAGTATAAGAGCTATTATAAGGGTTCAATGCAGGGGCCGTAGTAATTTAGAATAAAGCTTTCGGGCCCATTATACTATAATGCTAATGAAGAATCCCTAAGATAGTATAGGCAATTACTTAGGCCTCTACGATACATACCCGTAGACAGGTCGGTAATGCTACAATTATGCAAGGGCGGATATGGGGATAGTGCTCCAGAAACATTCGTGGTGTATTTTGCTATGAACATTCTGTCGGGGTTGCAACTAGGTGTCATAGACGGGCTACATCGGCATCTGGTTGTGGCAAGGGCCTTGTGTTACATATTATAGAGCTACTACATCTTCTACATGGTTAGCATAAAGCTTAGGGGGTTGGGCGTGCTCGGAGTGGATCCTCCGAAAAGCCTGGAACCCGATGTCGTGAACCTTGGCGATGGCCTCCGCGTGCTCAGCTCGAAGACGCTCCACGTCGTTGATCGCGTCCGCCCATGCAGCGCCCTCGGCCAACTCAGCATCGTCCGGCTTTCTCTTCAGCGCCTTGTGCTGCGTGTTCATCCTCTTGCGGTAAGCATTGCCCAACGTCTTCCGGCCGCAAGTGCTTACCTGTCGCCCCTTGTCGTCGGGCCTCCTCCAGTACCCTAGCCCAAAAAAGGTTAACCTTTTGAATTATAGTAGGATTATAAGAGCCCCAAAAGGTTAAAGGTTACCTACTCAGCCACTGAGAAAGAGATTCACTGCATGATGCAACGTCTTGATAATACAAGCACGCAGCTGGGTTTAGGGTTTAGGGTTTAGGGTTTAGGGTTTAGGGTTCAGGGTTTAGGGTTTAGGGTTTTAGGGTTTAGGGTTTAGGGTTTACGGTTTAGGGTTTTTTATAAGTGTGTTGACATGCCCTTTCCGACAGGGTTTAGGGTGCTCTTATTGTCAGCCAAGCATGCCCCTCAGAACAAAACCTCTTCTCTGAGTTATTTCGAACCTGACGCACACATCCCAACCGAGACGAAAAGCTCTGAACATGTTTGGGCCTCTATCAGGAGAGGTTACGGCCCTCAACCCTAAACCCTAAACCCTGAACCCTAAACCCTCAACCCTAAATCCTAAACCCTAAACTCTCAACCCTAAACCTTTAACCCTAATGCTTTTGGGGGTGCAGGGTGTAAGGTTTGGGGCCTTGGGCTTCAGGGCAAAGGTCTCCGAGGCTCACAGCCGAAACACTCCCCGGTGTCAAAAACACAACTTCCTAACGTAGCAGCCTTAATAATTCGAATAGGCATTTGCGGTATATTATACTATAACTATAAGAAGGAACCCCCCAAAACCCCATTCTAATTAATTAGGATAAGGTTTTGGGCATATTATATACTAGAACTATAAGACGGAACCCTCAGAATGGTAGTGGTAATTATTCAGGCCCCTATACTTAAGCACCCACCCTCTATGAGTCCCAGGGCCATGGCCTAGAATGATAGATCCTAAGAGCCTTCTATGCCCCCGGCCCTCACGTAAAGCCTCGGGCTAGGGTTTAGGGATTAGGGTTTAGGGTTTAGGGTTTAGGGTTTAGGCCTAAACCTAAACCCTGGACTCCGTAACTAAACCCTACACCCTCAACCCTAAACCCTGAACCCTACGCCCTAAACCCTAAACCTCAAATGCTTCTAAGGGGATCCTTGGCTTTCACCCTAAGTACTCCAACTATTGTATAGTAGCCCTTAGAGGAATCCTTACAGCTAGGATCCTTTAACAGACCGTTAATAGGATCCTTTGAAGGAACCCTGATGAGATCCTTTAAAGGAACCCTTATAGGATCCTTTAAAGGAGACGTTATGAGATCCTTTACAGGAACCCTCATAGGATCCTCTAAAAGGCTGCTTATAGGATCCTTTAAAAGAATCCTAACAGGATCCTTTAAACGAAAACTTATAGGATCCTTTGAAAGAATCCTGAAACGATCCTTCAAGGAGCCCTTAAAGACTTATCGGATCATTTAAAGGAAAACTTATAGGATGCTTTCTCGTAGTGCCCAAAAGGGTCCGCTTCGCTCGTAAGGAACTTTGATCCCCATGGCCCGAAAGGCATCCACCAGACATGTCTCTGGCAGTTTCGGGTTGCCTGCGATACACGAATGCGTAGAAGCAGTCTGCAGGTGCAAAACACATCGGTTATGCCGTCGAATACGATGCGCGTATGCAATCCAAGCTGCTGTCTCTGATGTCCGCCGTAATCGGGATCGAGCTTGTAATCTTGGCGCATCGTTGTGGCAGGGTCCGGACTGACCCAAGCAATGAGTCCTTCTCGTTCGAGTGACACCTGTTCAACAGTCACGATGCAACAAATACAGTACGACAGGCTCCTTTGCACGAGCCGTGAAAGTCTTATCGGATCCTTTAAAGGACCCCTTACAACAGGATCCTTAAAAGAATCCATATAGGATCCGTTAAAGGACCCCTGAAAGACTTATAGGACGCTTTAAAGGAAAGCTTATAGGATCCTTTCAAGGAGCCCTTGAAGACTTATAGGATCCTTTAAAGGAGCCCTTACAATAGAAGCGCAAAAGTTGGAAACCCAACAGCCTCAATCCTTAAGAATCATACAGGGTTTAGGGTTTAGAGTTTAGGATTTAGGGTTTAGGGGTTTGGGAATCCCAGCACTAATTGGTCCTTAATCCGGTCTCCAACTTTTGGTGGGTTACTTGAAGACTCATAGGCCTTTAAAAAAAACCTTACAAGGACCTAAACCCTAAACCCTAAACCCTGAACCCTGAACCCTAAACTCTAAACCCTGAACCCTGAACCCTAAACCCTGAACCCTAAACCCTGAACCCTAAACCCTAAACCTTAATACTCAAACCCTAAACCCTAAACCATGAACTCTAAACCCTAAACCCTGAACCCTGAACCCTAAACCCTGCACCCTAAATCCTGAACCCTAAACGCCAAACCCTGAACCCTAAACCCTGAACCCTACACCCTGAACCCTTACAAGGGAACAAGTTTGGAGCTTCAGTGAAGCAGCAGTTTAGGGCGCCAACAGACAAAAGCACATAAGCAAAATTCGGATAGGGACATCCCATATAACGCCCCTTATAAGGATACCCTAAACCCTAAACCCTAAACCCTAAACCCTAAACCCCTAAACCCTAAACCCCTAAACCCTAAACCCAAACCTGCACCAGATTTTTTCATTACCCCCAGGACCCCACAAAAATGCTTATGCTTATTTGCTTTTTGGGTCCCCAGGCAGTTGAAGTCCGGCTCCAGCTGCGAGAGCGGGAAAGCGCCCCAGGGCCGGAGCGGAGCCTCTGCGTCGGGCTTTTGAGGGGTTTCTTTGGGGTTTTTTAAGGGCCTGTGGCTTTGAGCGTTTTGAGGGTTTAGAGGTTTAGGGTTTAGAAAGTGGGCTTTGGGGTTAGGATTTGGTGTTTAGGGTTTAGGGTTTAGGATTTAGGGTTTGAGGTTTGCCGTAGAGCGGCGCATAAGCGGAATTATCTATCCACAGTGTCGTTTCGAGTGTATCGTAGTTTGACGATTCGCTGCTGGAGCCCGAATGTGGAGGCTCCTTCTTTTCTTTCTCCCACCCCACGCCGTGGGGCGGCAAAACCATCCAAACCTGTTCTTCTCAGGGCTTAGCTCTAAACTCATTCCATGGTTTTCTTCTTTAGCTCGTTCATGCAGCAAGAGCAGGGCAGGGCAGGGCAGGGCAGGGCAGGGCAGGGCAGGGCAGGGCAGGGCAGCAGGGCAGGGCAGGGCAGGGCAGGCAAAGTAAGGGCAGGGAAGGCGGGCAGCAAACGAGGCAGGGGGAGGGCAGGGCAGGGCAGGGTCTGCTCGCTGGAGGCTCTGGCTGGGGGCCCGGAACGAAGATTCCAGCCCCAAGCATCCAGCGTTTAGGGTCTTTCAATACTTGTCCTGAAGTGAACGGATCCGGTACCGGTCCGTGATGGGTGCTACCGCTCCTGGCTGCAGCAGGCAAGCGCCGCCCCCCCCCCCACTGTCCGGGGGCGGGCCAAGCCTTGAGTTTAGGATTGAGTGAGGTTTAGGGTTTCGGGTTTAGGGTTCAGGGCTTCGGGTTTAGAGTTTCGGGTTTAGGCTTTAGGGTTTAGGGTTTAAGGTTTAGGGTTTCGGGTTGCAGGCTTTCCTTCGAGGGTTCTGTCAAGAGTCCTACTAGGGTTGTACAATGACGGTTCCGGTCGGGGTGTCTCAGGTGCGTTAATGAGTCCGCTCCTTGCTACTATTTGTAGCAGAGAATGAGTCCGTTTAGAGGGAATCCCAGAAAGTTGGAACATGGGTTTAGAAGGATGAGTGCTAGGATCCCTTATACTTCATTTTAACCCTATGCTTCCAAGGACCTTACAGTTAATCAGGGACCTAGACCTATTAAGGACCCTCCCTGGAAGCATACGGTTAGAGGGCATGAAGATAATCATGTTCCGCCTTTTGGGCTTCTAATTTAGATGGTTCACGGGCATTGTGTTCGCCAGATTCCTGGTTCTGGGGAGCTTCTCTTCAGGGACTAAGTAATGTTGGGGCTTCATGATTAGAGTAGGGCCTTGGGATATATGTTTATGTTTACATTATACTGTAGTTATAATAAGGAGCCCCCAAAATAGTATAGGTAATTATTTAGGCCCATACATTATACACAGGA